CCTTGATTTGAACTTAGGACTGGGGGATTATGTCCTACAATTGTCCTAGTTTGAAAGTGGTATGCAAGAGGCACAACTGGCTGACAAATTTGGCCTACTAACTTATTCATTATTTCGTTCAAAGTATTCAGTTGTTTGGTCATGTTGTCATAATGTGCATTCCCATTCTAGGTAAATCTTTCCATATTATGAATATTTTGTAGATTTACCTGTTCAATGACATCTTGTGTGAGTTCTCCGAGTAATGCACGCATGGTTCGAGGACTCAACTTTGTCATTGATTCGTAACGATTGTGATTGCTCTGATCCTATCCATCTATTCGTGGAGAGCTATGTTGCTCCTCATATCGCTCGATTACAGATTGGACTCCTCCGTGGCTTGCTGCTTCCTTATCGGATTTCTGAGGTATATTGTTTCACCTTTTGTATCTTCAACACCAAACACCAAGGTCCCACTGGGCGTGCCAAATTGTTTCGCGCGAGTAGTCGCTAACAATTAAAAAGGGATCAGACGATTGTGTAAGGAACAAACCTCTTGAGACAAAATCCCAAAAAGGGGTGTTTTATTGGCGATGACTTTACAATTGAAACTTAAACAGAATGCCTCCAAGGGGCACAAGCACACGAGTACTGAAAAGAAATGTTTTAAGTCTAAACTAAGGAATTGAAATTACATATTCTTTGTTTGAGAGTATTTGATTCGGGGTCCTTTGCTCTATGTCTTTTCTTCCTTTTATATTCCCTTGATGATATCTTCGTGATCAACTGCTTAATTGCTTTATAACTTCCCACTTTCTTCATGGTGGCCAACTTATCGTGGAACTGCCGTCTCTAACTGCTGCCACTACTCTTTGTCGTTCAACCGTCCTCAACTGATCATTCTTGAATCGTGGAACGTGATAAGATTATTTAATAACTGCTTTGATAACTGCACTTTTGGATAACCATAACATCTTATGTTTGCTAAGATCCTGGGCGATTCTAAGGTTTGGACAAGAACGGGGTCATAACTCTGGGCGACTGCAAGGCACTTCATTCGCTCAGATTTTGGGCGTCTTGCAAGTTTGGGCGATGGTGTTACCACATTCGTGGGCTTCCACTGCATTTATTGATAACCCTATTTGGGCCTTTATCCTGAATTGCCCAGTTGGGCTTCATT